TGCGCCTTGGAGCGGAAGGGCTCATTGACAAAGACGGAGAGCCGCAGAAAGTAGTACAGCTGAGTAGGAGGGAAAGCTGCCGACAGTAGGTCACGCATGGCTTGGAACGATGCTCCTGTATTGGATCCCAGCTGATAGAGAATAGAGTAATGGGCCTGAATGTCATCCAGCATGTCGGGTCGTAGTTGCCGTTGGAGATCAGGATGTAGTCGTCGTCGAAAGCGTTTGTGCAAGCTGAGGGAAGTGGAAGACGACAACGAGTGACGTCGAAAATCAACGAGGTGTTCCCGGAAGCCCACCTTTCGCAAAAGTCTGTGTACCCAGGGTGCATTCAAATGCGGGCGTAGCAAGTATTGCCATTTACTTTCTTGGACCCAAACCGAGGAAACGGGAAGTTTGATCTCAACCGGAACCGCACAGAAGAGCCAGTAAGTATTGGATCGCTTCCAGTAGTGAAGCGCAGGTTCGAAGAAGGCATGACGTCCTCGAAGTAGTTGTAGAAATTTGCGACTGCGTGAGTGTTCACGTCGTAGAACATCCTGATCAGTCGCTCCAACGTAGTAAGGTGTGTGCCACGGGGAAAGTCGGATGTAGACGCACGGTTGTTGATGATGACCTGGATCGTGTATGAAGTCATAGAGGTCAGGAAAGCGTGCCCGCAATGAGCGAAGATGTCGCGTGTCGGCAAAAGTGGAGTGCATGATTTCACACAAGAGAGAAGCCTTGTAGAAGTGAAGGACATCAAAGAACGGCGGGAAGTAGCCATGATCCTGGGAAATGAGACGTTGTAAGAAACTGATCAATAAATAGGCAGTGCACCGACATCTATGAATCTCATACCTGTTGGCCACAGTGTGCTGAGAGTGTGACATAGCGTGATTCGGAATCTGAAGGGCAATCCGAACCACAACTAAGACTTCGAGAATGAGGCCCAACACGGTAGTTGTGTGATTGATTCGTACTCATCAGCTGGTATCGACGGTGGTGGCAGTCCAGGGAAGCAGTATTGCCAGCACGTAGAGAACATGGTCAACGAGTGTAAAAAGTTGTCCAGAGACTGCCATTGTGCAACATCATCATAGATTCCACAGCGGCGAAGCTCATCCAGCATGGTGAAAATGCAACCAATGAAATCTACCATAAGGCGGCGACATGGATACAAGCTGCACAGACAATCACACACAAGGCAATGCAAGAACAACCAAGCACAAGATCAAATTGGTGCAACGCAGAAAGATGACGGACGAGTTTTAACCTTGACTCATCCGTGACATGGTTGCCGCTCCGGGCTCATAAGAGAACGAAGGTCGTTAAGATGCCTGCTCATCCGCTGAGTAGACGGGCGGTCACGATGAGGTGACTCAATGCCTTCTCAGTGAGCTTGGTAAGATAGCCGGGCTCCAGTCCCCACGAAGCCGCCATCGCCCCGAGAGTCGGTGCGTCGCCTTTCGGCATGCGTTGACGCGCTTGAAGGAGCTGCGTCGCCATGGAATCCAATGACTTGTTGCCGTTGAGCCGGGACGGGTGATTGGCCCACTTGACCAGTGACGCCAAAGTCGTGGTTGTGGGCGATTGCTTGAGATAAAGGCGAGGCTGGTCACTGGTCCATGTGTAGTACTTGACAACTTCATCCGGCGTGCTGTGCATGGTGAGCAATTGTGACGCCGCCGGCTTGGACGGCGGTGACGACACTCCGTGAAGAGACTGAATGATCCGAGGTTGCACCGCGCTATCAAACGACTTGCCATCAAGGGCCGCTGCGCTGGCTGTAGGAAGGGAGCTGGCAGGTGACGAGGATGGTGTGTGGTTGACCGGTGGCGGTGTAACCAACTCTGCATCATCTTTCTGGCTTGCCATCGTGGGAGAGGTCGAAGCGCGCAGCGATGCGGAATACTGAGCTTGGAGCAGTTCGTGCGCACGATTTAGATCATTGTACTTCTTGACCATGTCATCTGTCTGGGTGGAAGGTGTGAGAGAGGTGTGATGTTGCTGAAGAAATTGAAGTACCAAGCTGGCCAAATGGTCATGAACCTTGATCCGCTGATTGAAGTCATCGATGTTGAGACCCAGCGAGTTGGCAAGGTCCTTTTCCAGGGTGAGCAAGTTGAGCGCCTGTGAACGTCGTAGTAGTTTGGAACAGGTACTCCAAAGTAAGGCCTCGGCGAGTGCGAAAGCCTTCCCACGTCACAAATCTGCCGTGAGCGAACGGTCGGAGTAGCCAGTTGGTGAGCCCCCCATGGATAACCTGAACCAGGCGAACGTCCCGAATATCCATGCCTGACATGTCGCGTAGGTTGCCATGCGGAGTGTTGGCAACGGTCATGGGCAGGCTAAAGTTGTAGAGCTGATTGACATCAAACATGCCATCTCCGGGTGTCCAGTCTGGCGAAGGTGTAAGCCAGGCTTTCTGAGGGCGAACCGGTAGAGCCGCAGGAGGTCCAGGTGGCGGTGTAGGTTGGGTAGTAGTGACCGGTGGTGGCATCACGGGTGGCATGAACTTCGTTGGCGTGGGGTCTGGAGGGATCGGCATCATGTAGTTGATCGCTGGGTGTTGGAATTGCTGTGTGGGGCTGTGAGTCGGTTGAAAATTGGTGGGCATCATCGGGAAATTGCTGGCAGAGTTGTAGCCGGAATTGTGTTGCCAAGATACCAGGTTGTTCCAATCCATGCCCTCAGAGACCTGGTTGTCATTGTGTTCACGTCGGCGTGCTTTACGAGCTTGAGGTGAAGGACTCCGATCACGTCTGCGCCGAGTCCTAGATCTGTCACGATCATCACGTCGAGACATGACGGCGCAACAAACTCAAAACCGCAACTCCACAATCTTGAGAGGAACAAGTCCGACAAAATGCAAGTCAATGCAAGTTCAAGTCAGCAGCCATCAGCAGCTCTAGTGAGACGTCGCTATGATCTGACGGCTGACTTCCCTTTAGTGAGACCTCGTTCCTGGTTAAATGTGAAATTCCGCTGTTCTATGATAAGTACGTTGAGGTCAAATTTTCCGACAGAGCCGGCCCGGGGTCACACAATGGGTACACCCGAGGATTCCCCACGAATGGGGTGTACACACTTGAACTCCAGATGGAGAGTGCTAATCTTTCGAGTACAACTGATGAGTTTCGAGTACAACTGATGAGTCTCGAGTACAACTGGGGACAAATGCCATCGGCTTGCTGGTCACATGGCTTCCCTGTAGCTACTTGAACAGGGCACACAAAGCAACGGCGGTTCCGGGAGGGGACCAAAAGGACCTTCAGAAACATCACTTCACAAAGCAGGTACACGCGGATGATCAGTCCGCGCTTCCCCCATGGTGGTTAGCTTCGTTGGCACAGGTCACCACCATGGGCCTGTGCCCCCTGCTGAAAAACCGAAAGGGTGGTGACAGGGCATTCTGTCACTCCGCACACACACACACACACACACACACACACACACACACACACACACACACACACACACACACACACACACACACACACACACACACACACACACACACACACACACACACACACACACACACACACACACACACACACACACACACACACACACACACACACACACACACACACACACACACACACACACACACACACACACACACACACACACACACACACACACACACACACACACACACACACACACACACACACACACACACACACACACACACACACACACACACACACACACACACACACACACACACACACACACACACACACACACACACACACACACACACACACACACACACACACACACACACACACACACACACACACACACACACACACACACACACACACACACACACACACACACACACACACACACACACACACACACACACACACACACACACACACACACACACACACACACACACACTCACACACACACACACACACACACACACACACACACACACACACACACACACACACACACACACACACACACACACACACACACACACACACACACACACACACACACACACACACACACACACACACACACACACACACACACACACACACACACACACACACACACACACACACACACACACACACACACACACACACACACACACACACACACACACACACACACACACACACACACACACACACACACACACACACACACACACACACACACACACACACACACACACACACACACACACACACACACACACACACACACACACACACACACACACACACACACACACACACACACACACACACACACACACACACACACACACACACACACACACACACACACACACACACACACACACACACACACACACACACACACACACACACACACACACACACACACACACACACACACACACACACACACACACACACACACACACACACACACACACACACACACACACACACACACACACACACACACACCCGCAAAATGGTGCTGCTCTCTAATCTCAACACGGACTTGTCAGTGTCCTGCCATGAAAGGCACAAGGGATACTCCTGAATCCCTCGCTTACGTGTACCGCGAGTCAAAGTACGCGGCCAAGAGTGTTGCTAACACTTGCTAGGTAGGAAGGAAAGCCACGCGGCACCACCACGGCAAATATGGCTGTTCACATGGTGATTTCGGGTCCGGACATTCTACACTGCGACCGTAGTTTCCGAAACATGCATCTATGATCTGATGCAGTGCGTGGCAATGACGTTGAAAGTGCAGCGATTGCCTCTCTTGAAGATACAATGTGCTATACTGTACTCTGGTATTGAAGTGCTCAATACGCGGAAGCGGCCTGGCCAAAGGAAGGCCCAAAAGACGAAGGGTATTCCCAACCCCACCCCCAAGCCTACCCCAACAGACCTCCCCCCCAATCCTGAAAAGTCGGACCTTGGCGGTGCCGTGTAAGGAAACAGTGGACACTCCCGTCATTTCAACACATTGAGCCAAACTAAGCAGCCACGTGGGGGCCTCGCCTTGGACACCTCACCCGCCCTGGTTGCCAGGTGCGCAAATGCGCTGGGGCGCTCTGACACCAGCGCCTGGCAAACACGTGCTGGGGAGTACCACTCCAAGACACCGTGTTACCCAAGGTGTTTGGGGGCCAACGTATTCTTCATATACTTCCACTCAGACACGTGGCCAGGAAAACATGCTAATTATTGGACCTGGCCATCGCCATTTCAAGACAAGCTTGTGTTCGAACGGGGTGAGGGGGTATGGCTACGTTTGTTGTTTCAGAAAGTGCAGCGGTAAAACAGGACAGCAAAAGTGATGCACAAGGAGATATGACTGAGAGAGGCAGAAAGGGACGGCGGCAAATAGTGCGGCGAAAGGTGACAGAAAGATTGATTCTGCGAAGAGATGTCACGCAGATAAGTCGCAAAGATGTTCCCAAAAACCAAGTTTTCTCCCAGGACAACACCAGGAAAGCAGCAGAATTCTGGCAAACGCAGGCATGAGCGGCACAGCCAAAGCTTTGGAGATTGCTCCTAGGAAACAAGCACGCCGCGTGGGATGCCCATGTTGGATTGTGGTACTGCTGCATACGACAAGCCCATCTGTGTCACACGTCTTTGATGAACAGCTTTGCCCACACATAAACACTAGCAGCAGAGAAACCCCGTAAACTCTGCGAAAAGAGAGCATCAATTCACTTGCTTCCGAAAGGTATGTGCACAGTATGTCAAACATACTCTTTCCGATTCCACATAACATGAATCATATTATGCATGGCCCCCACCGCAGAAGTCCGTGAGGCAAGGCACGACCTCCTGAGTGGACTGGCCCAAAAAAGTCCAAGCTTGTAATTTGCCACTAAAATGGTCTTCTCCAAAGAAGTAACGTCCATGAACTCAGGGAGTAAGGGGGCTGTTGCAAGAGGATCCCGCGGTTTCGTTTTTGGGGTCCATAATATATGGCTGCTGAAATTCTCGATCAACATCCTTCCGCTAGACGGGACGATTCACCAGAGTAACAGTTCTTTCCTGTTGTTTGAGGGGCTTTGAGCTGACATGAAGATGCCGGGTTCGGGGCCGAGAAAATTGTGGACCCAAATTGGGAACCTAATGGTCAAAGGCTGGCTTTGGACAACTGAGACTTGATGGCTCCTTTTTGCACCTCCTGATTCTGAACCCCCGAAAGCGATGCAATGAGCCTGCGCGATGCCCTGCACAGGGTCGTCAAGATCAGGCAGTGTCAGAACCTGCGAACAGTGTATGGAAACTGAAGAAGGCGGAAGCGAGGCTTCTTGACCATCAACATTGTTGAAAGCGGACCCTCTGGACGTCAGCAACTTGGCAAGTCAAGCGAACTGGTGCAGCAAAGTGCTGATGCTGCTTTTGACCGGCAAATGGGAAACTGCCAGGTGCGTAGATCAGGTTTCATTGTACTCTTTAAGCTCTTTCCGAATCACCGACCACACGCGTGCCCTTCTACTCCTTAGAGGAGATTCCTCTAACCATGAATGAATTGTGATGTGAAATGTCCGGAGGGTCGGGGGACCCTCTGGCATTTCTTGCGGCATACTGCAAGGAAGATTGGATGTGCCGCCGGAAGATAAGCGTTTCTGCCGAGTATTGAGCCAACATTAGCCAACATTAGTCAGACCCATATACAGGAAGTATTTCAGTGTGTTGCAATGGCCAATTCTGGCAAGATCAGAATTTCTGCAGTTGGTGATGACCAAGCCCTGATTCTCCTTGCAGGAAATGCATCGCTTTTTCACTTATGCCACAACCACGTCCATGTGATGTTACAAATACCCAACACTCCTTCAAGGAGCTCTGCCGTTTCCACGCGCGAAACGCTGGGCCCGATAAGACCTTGGGCCCCCTTCCGGGGCACTTTGCCCTTCGCTTTGCTTCCGACCCTTGGGCAGCTGGCCTCCTCAGCGTGGCGCTGGAGGATCTGACGCCGGAGCAAAGCGATGCCCGGCAGCACTGAGAGGGGTGAAAAGTCCAGGACCAATGGCCTGCGCTTGGCCCTCCAGGGCCCCACAGCTAGGTGATGGATGACTAAAGTTTCTGTCCGTCGGTGGGTCTTGCGGGGCATTGGTTTCGCAGGGTGCCTACACTCTCCTTGGCCCCTGTGGCACGTGAGTCATGACCGAAGCGAGTTGTGAAGAGAATCCGAATACGGGATTATAAGGTTGGATTGAACGCCCTATCAGTCTCCAAGTGCCCAAGTTATGATTTGGCTCACACGCTCCTTGTTGGTTTGTTTTTCGTCTTCCATGGATGGAGTTGTTGCATGGTTGGCTTTTGCCGTGTAAGCGGCCACTTGCAGGTCACAAAGGAAAGATGACGCAATTGCTTCACATATTGCAAGTCTTTCATAGAACTTGCCAGGAGCCCAAACCACTGAGCAGGTTGCCGTGCAGGCTTGGCAACACCAGCGCCACTGGATTAGGTACCAGTCCCACACTCGTCTCGAGCAACTTGCGGGGCCTGCTATGCCCCAGGTTCAAACTGCTCGCAATGACTGTTTGGGCATTGCTTGGGCGGTGCCAGGTGGAGCAACGATGCTGGCCCCACATGTCTGCACAGACATGCTGTACGGACTGCTTTGCGCGTGGCTACTTTGCTCGCCTGAATTGGGATCGGGCTCGGAAGTTTTGCGTCTGGTCCGGAGGCCCGCGCCGTGCACTGGCGCTAGTTACTTCTCGCCTGCTGCACTTGGCGGCCGCCGTCCTGATGGGCCTTCACAGGAATGTGTTTGGCAGGGATGTGGACATTCCTCGGTAGACCTGTGGAAACATCCCTCCGTCTCGCTTCGGGTGGGTTATTGACGGGCAAGATGCGATTATGTTCGCTGTGCATGGTTGGCTGTGCATGCTCAGCAGGCCAATTTGCCCGCTGGCTCTTCTCCATGAGTGTCTGCGGCGCCTGACCTTTGTTCGCGCTTGGCTGCTGCATGCTGCCTCCGGTCGTGTGGCTAATGGTCGCTGTTGGGGGTGGTGGTTGTTTGTTCCCCCGTGGTTGGTCTTGCTTGAACCCTGAGTGCCCTTGCTTGGGTGGGTGGGTCTGCTTCGGCTGGCCCACTTCCGTGTGCAGTTCGCTTGGGGGCTGCCACACGCTATCAACGTCTACACAGCCGCATTCACTGTAAGGCGTCTTCAGGCAGGATGAAATGGGCTCGACAACCTTCACGTCGCAAATGGCTGGTTCAAACACGTGCCCAAAGAGCCACTCCAAAAGACAGGGAGAAAGCCTCGGAAAGCTTCCAACGATTGCTCAAGGTGCTTTGCTGACATGAACTTGGCTGGGCGGATATAACCACAATTGAACACTTGCCTTGATGCTTTGCACCATGTGATTTGCTCGGGCCCAGCGAGGAAAAAAATAGTGGCCCAAAAATCACCCCTTTGCCTGCAGGACATGGGGAAAGCGTTTTCTGATTTGGGAAGGCACACTATGTACCAAATATGTAAACCCGCCTCTGAGCAACTGTGTTGTTGCGGGCTCTTGGAGCACGCACACTCCAAAGCAAACTGTCAACACCAACATCGCTTGCACATTTTCCTGCCCAAATATCGTGCATGGCAACTGGGGTCGATGATTGGTTGTTTCAACCAAACTTTCTACATGCCATCGGCGACTCATAAACTCGAATCGGCCGGGCCGCGGCTGGTTCAGCACCGCAAAGGAGGACACCAGTGTATAGGCGAGGCCAAGCTGCTGCAAGGCGCGGCCAAAGTCCTCGGGTCCCCTGCAACCGAAGCAACCTCCACTGAACCATTGGCACACGCATGAATAGTTATTAATAGTACTCATGCGGGGATGCTCTTGTTGCCCGAACTCTGATTGGCTCTCACCAGCTCGCAGGTACGAGTGCTACAGGCTCCCATGGACATAAACAAAGGCGGTGCCGCTTTGCTAAACCGGTTTGCATTGCCCACTTTCCCTTGCCACTGCGGTTTTCTCATCCCGGTTGTTGCAGGAAAGGGTCAAGGACTCAAGGGATGTGCGGCAAGGTGTAAGATGTCAGAGATTGTCAGGGATGGTTTGAGAAAGGCACTGCACTGTGCATTTTTCTTTCTCTCACGGATGCCTCCCGCAAGCCAACGGTACTTAGAATGCTTGCAAA